GCTTGGCCTACAAGCAACTTTAGCAGCACAAACGAACAGACCGGAACAAGCAGCCAAACAGGAGACTTCACCACTGGAGCACCTATTTTAGGACTATATGCTAGGGCCCTTTGTAATAGGGAATAAATACAATCTCTTTCTCTTCTTTGTTCGGGACAGTGATGGAGGTAATTTTAAATGACCCGGTATAAGCTCCCAGCGATCGGCCGTCCTACTGCAGCTTCACTTGTTATTTGCCACAGCATCCAACAAAAACAAACAGCAAGTTATCTAGATGCATTTACTAAGATGATGAGCAGCAGAACAAAACAATTTCCTTCAAATAATTGTTATTCATCCAAGCAAACACACAGTAATGAGGCCAGTTCATGATTCTCACAGCTACTGTTCATGTTCTCAGAGCTGTTCTTAGGCTGACATCAGTCTTGCTGGTTTTTAACCTTCCTAACGACCCTGAGCAGACAGATTCAGGTGTGGGCATTACTACGCAGTCATCATCTCCCACAGGCACCATGACAGTGCGTATTTCCAGCCATACCATCAGGGCCTGGGTGCACCGCCCTCTCCTGTTGCTCCTTCTGAACCTCACATCCAGCCACGAAAAATCAAAAGGGTGGTTCATCATAACGACGTTTGGCACCACTGTCTGTGCATTCTGCCCCATACCTCTGTCCTGCTGCAATCCGCTGCTGATCCTGCCCCGCTCCTCCTCCCCGTGCTCTCTCAGCGCACCTCAGCAGGCCCAGGCTGCATATCCAAGACTTTGATGAAGAACAAGGATATGGTGGGAACGTCACACTGCCTGTTTCTGCGAACAATTGAAGTCTGACTTTTTTTTCTGGACAACAAAAGAAAACCTCAAAAAGAGAAAAATGGACACCAGCCAAGAAATGGGGTGGGGGAAAATGTTTATAGATGTTGGCAAATCTACTGCGCAGCTTTCCCATGTTATAAACTACATCACTGCCTGCAAACACAGGGAAGACACCCTTCTGCAAACCAAGATGATATCAGATTTGCCTGTTATGTCCTCCATGAACCTGAATTCCTACTTCTCCCCTAAAACCGTGTAATTAAAGGTGTTATATTCAGCATATACACTAGGTGATTAAAGGTGCTTTATTCAGCACATACACTAGGTCAGTACCATCCCAGAATGTAATTCTGACTAAAGCAGCAACGCGCTGCACAGCAGGGCTTTAAGGCTCCGGCAAAATTAAAAGCTTTGGAGGCTCCGAGCAACCCTGCTCGGTATCAGGGGGTGGGGGAAGGGCCGCATGTGGTTTGGGATATTTTCACCAAATGTTAAATCACACAGAATATTTCACTCGTCTCCAGCGTGAGATCACGCCATGACTCCTCTGTAATGAATTCTTTACCTTGGCAGCGCTCCCGCTTTCTCCCAGCCGTGCCTCCCCTCTCCCCTCCCGGTCCCAGCGCCGTCACATGT